GTTGAACTTACTATTGAGGTTATGAGCCAGAATGTGAAAGAGGGACAGACAGACATGACTGAGTGCTAACAAACAGCCTTTGAAATTGTTTAAATCTGCTCAGTATTTGTGTTTGTATGGTCAAGAATTTTGTTTAAAAGATCGTTTCCAGTAATTTTGTGTTTGATTAGTTAAGTACTGTCGGTTAGTGTCAGTCACGTGGCACTAACTCTTAAGTACTGTCGGTTAGTGTCAGTCACGTGGCACTAACTCTTAAGTACTGTCGGTTAGTGTCAGTCACGTGGCACTAACTCTTAAGTACTGTCGGTTAGTGTCAGTCACGTGGCACTAACACTTAAGTACTGTCGGTTAGTGTCAGTCACGTGGCACTAACTCTTAAGTACTGTCGGTTAGTGTCAGTCACGTGGCATTAACTCTTAATTACTGTCGGTTAGTGTCAGTCACGTGGCAACTAACTTTATCACTGTTTGTTATGTCGTCACGTGGCACCAACTCTTAATTACTGTCGTGTTGCGTCAGTCACGTGGCACTAACACTTGGTACTGTCGGTTAGCGTCAGTCACGTGGCACTAACTTAATTACTGTCGGTTAGTGTCAGTCACGCACTAACACTTCGGTTTCGTCGGTTAGTGTCAGTCATGGCACTAACTCTTAATACTGTCGGTGTCAGTGTCAGTCTCGTCAGGCACCACTCTTCAATTACTGTCGGTTAGTGTCAGTCACGTGGCACTAACTAACTCTTACGGTTAATGTCGTTACGGCAGTGGAACTCGTACGTCGGTTAGTGTCATCAACTAACTTAAGTACTGTCGGTTGTGGTGGCACTAACTTGGTACTGTCCGTCACGGCACTTAATTGTCGGTTAGTGTCACGTGGCATTAACTCTACTGTCGGTTAGTGTCAGTCATGGCGCACTAACTCTCTTGGTTACTGTCGGTTAGTGCCGTCACGGGCACTAACTCTTAGTACTGTCGGTTAGTGTCAGTCACGTGGCACTAACTCTTAAGTACTGTCGGTTAGTGTCAGTCACGTGGTCAGTCACGTGGCACTGTCGGTTAGTAACTTGGCACTAACTCTTTACTGTCGGTTAGTGTCAGTCACGTGGCACTAACTCTTATACTGTCGGTTAGTGTCAGTCACGTGGCACTAACTCTTAATTACTGTCGGTTAGTGTCAGTCACGTGGCACTAACTCTTAAGTACTGTCGGTTAGTGTCAGTCACGTGGCACTAACTCTTAAGTACTGTCGGTTAGTGTCAGTCACGTGGCACTAACTCTTAAGTACTGATGCTATACATACTATACAGTATTTAAAATCGGGGAGTTTTTTCTTTAGATGAGTTTCTGTTTATTTATTAATTATTCCATGTATTTGTTTATCTGTGTGTGTCCTGCCTCACATGATTCTGTTCTTTCTTCTTTCATTATAGATAAAGGGGACACGTTCAAGGACACGAGGTTGGGTTAGGTTAGGTTAGGTTAAGGTTGATGGAGGAATTACTGTACTTCCGGTTTATCACAAGTAACAAACCTAACCTAACCTAACCTAACCTAACCTAACCTAACCTAACCTAAGATAGCATACAGTATAGCACGGGTAATGCCACTTCACATAGAATAAAGATTAACTTGGCAATAAACCAAATTTCACCCTCGGTCGACCCAACACATACATAAAATTAATCCTTAAAAGATCTACACCATATTCGTATTTGGGTGAACAAGTAGTGAGGTATAGTGAATGTATGCTATGTCTTGCTCGGCAGGTTCTAAGATATGTTGCCTTTAGTGTCGAGTATACTGTATATATATAAAAAAAACATGACAAAAACACACTCCGTTTTAGACATGACTTTCATTAGTTTCGCACACACATTATTTTCAACTTAATCGACTCATATTTTTTTTATCCATCTGGTTAGATATATTAGTTTTGAATATCGTCATCTATGTGTAAATTAATAAGATAATTTACCTCATGAAGATATGTAGACGAATAGAGGGCATACATGTTTAAATTGATTCACCGTGAATAAATTTAAACCTGTCCTCATATTTCCATTATTAATTATTGACATAGATTTTACAACACTACTTATACATAACACAAACTCTTATACCTAATTTAATACTGTTTAGACATACAATAAAAAATATATACTTGTACCCCCCAAAAAATAAATCATAAAATTTTATACAGAATCAACCAAAAAAGTAGTTTCAATATAAATACAGGTCACTGGCATAGGTAAGATATTTTATGCAGGTTTATTATAGTGAACCAGCGGTTGGAGTACAGTATCACTAGGGCCATGACTGACGTTATCTGCTTGAATATCAAAGGGAATGTGAAGACAGTAACCCACCAGCAGTACACAATTAAAAACCGGTTCTCTTTGGGGTCATTGTTTGTGTGTTAAACCGGTTCTCATGGGGTCATTGTTTGTGTGTTGAACCGGTTCTTATGGTGAATCACTTGACTGTACTACTTCAATTTGTGGATATTTATGTTTTGTTAATAATTTCTGGGTTCACATGATAGTTACCGACCATCCTCCCTCCCCCCATGCCTTCCTCCACATCTTATTGCATCTGATGATTAAACACCTTAACGCTACCTGGTGGAAGGGTTAGGTTAGGTTACGTTTGATTAGGTTAGGTTAGGTTAGGTAAGGTTAGGTTAATCTTAAGGTGAAATATTCTTGTGGGTGAAAAACTTTACATGATACGTTATCTGTAAGAATTTAAAGTAAAGTTATGTTGGGGTCTCATAGTAGAGTCAGAGATATGATATATTTCCAAGTGTTATCAGTTTATCAGTTGTCTGTAATAGTTAATAGTATTTAATTTTAACCCAGAATCTACTGAGGTTAGAGTCAGTAGGGAAATATTAATGACACGGTTTGTTTAAATAATAATTACTTCTCTTTCATCACAAGCAAATAAATGTGGGTTGACCGGTCAAGCTTACAGAGAGGAAAATAAACTTGTAAACGCCAGGTAATATTAGTTTAATGGCTTAATTATGAAGCTCCCAGTTGATTTATACTGTATTAGGTAGCCTGAGAGATTGCGTGTGTACAGGAGGTTAATGGTATGCCTACACACACACACACACACACAGGACAGCAGAGAGAGAGAGAGAGAGAGAGAGAGAATTCCTCGGATGGCAGAGTACAATGGAACAGCTATAAACTTAGCTTTAGTGAACTCTGTACACTTCACTTCAGTACAGACAAAACAAGTGTTGACAGTTCCAGTGACAAGTAAACAGAGACTCAGGAGCCCGATAATTACTTCATATTCCATGTCACGTTTATCACCTCCTCCTCCTCCTTCAGAAATATAGGTAAGACTTCAAGCTTCAACGAATTATATACATTTAATAAAGATGAATGTATGTCCAGATTTTAATAATAATAAAATAATAATAATTAACGGTTTATTGAAAAAGTTCTGCAGCCCGATGGCTAAAAATATACAGTGGACAAAAATGAATTATTACATACAAAGACATGGGGTGGGTGGGTCGTTTAACAAAAGCTTCCATTACTAAAAGGAGAAGGAACATGAACTGAGCATACAAATTATTATAGTTTACAGTTGATGGCCCGGGCCTGGACTGGTCATGGAGACACCAGGTGGTGTAGTGTAGTAACTCGTCCTCAGATGTTGATATGAAAGACCTCACATAGAGACACCGGGTGGTGTGGTGTTCACGTGGTGCAGTAACGCGTCCGTAGGTGTTGATATGAAGGACCTCACGGGGTCATGAAAACACCTTGTGGTGTGGGGTGGTGTCACAGTACCTCACTCTGCTGGGTGGTGTTGTGTTATCTCGTAGTCAGGTGTGAAGCCGACCCACTGTTGTTCCCATGGTGGACTGATTAACACCTCCTGGTCAGAAGATGGTGGTCAGCTCCCAGGGGTGCTTATCTCAGTGGTGGGTCACTGCTCTCACTGGTACTGTCTAGTGCTGAATTCACTGGCTTAAACACTGTTCAACACTGATCCCACTTCTTTCCGAAACGAAATTGTCACTTTTGATTATGTTGATATCCCGGTGGTGAGGATGGGCCGGGGAGAGGGACTGAGGAGTGGGGCCGAGCATTGGCCAAGGGGGGCAGCTGCTCAGCAGCGCCTGGTAGGTCTTGACCCTACGGTGGTCAAGGATGTTACGAGCCTCACAATCACATAACCGAGCATCAGCCACCATTAATACTAAATACATCTTGAAATACAGTCTCTCTCTCTCTCTCTCTCTCTCTCTCTCTCTCTCTAGTTGTGTTGTCTCCTTCGCCTTTATTATTGACAATATCATCACCTTTTGAAACAAGTGAACTAAATGATAACCAAAGTATCCTAAAATATATTTACCATTAAAAGCTTTTATGGTGAAAAATATATAGAGTCCTTACCAGCGACTTCACGAGACTATTGATACAAAGGATGGGGAAAATTTAAGAGTTTTAAGGGAATATTGAGACAAGTATTTCCCTATGGTGTACGAGAGGTGTGTTTACTCTCGCCATTTAATTTTGTTGTCGATGACTATAGCCTCAGTGAAGCCAGTAGCCCCGTGAGTCAAGTTACAGATTGATATTATTCGTTTTGGAAAAGGAAATTTGATCAATATGTATCTGTAGTTGTCGCTGTGTCTGTGAGGAGAAAACAAACAAATCACTGAATACATTATCAACATTGCCTAAAAGACATATTTTCTTTTCTGTTAATGTTTGTATAATCGTGTTAATATCTGACAGGATAGATGTACGCTTTGCACTCAAAGTTTTAATGAAATTCAACACATTTACATTTCAGTTTCTGTAAGAGACGATCAATAGTCATCCATTCGAGGGTTCATCAATGCAATTCTTTATAAATGGGTTTGCTTGACGCATTATCTGGTAGGAAATAGGTAAACAGCTTCCTTCCCGCCCCACCCTTCACCTGCCTTCCCCTCCACAAAAACAAACACACACATACAGGTTCCCTTCACCACGCCTCGTCACCATTCTATCCCCGCCTTGGTGTGGGTATATATAGATCGTCTCAAACATGTGACCAATATCCTCAGCTGATCCTCACAGCGACAACAACATGAAGCTGGTAAGTACTGGCCAAGATCCTCACTCAACACAACACCTCTCTTGGGGTATTGTTGTTACGTCTCTGCTTGGCCTATTGCCCTTTTCTTATTACCTAACAATCATTAGACAGTTATTATTAACATTTATAAGCTCGAGTAATAATTACTAAAAGGTCTTAATTCGTAACACTTAAGACCTCAGTACTTTGACAAGAGTTCAATAATAAACGTAGCTGTTAATGAGGACCTGTTGAGGCAGTATATTATACTGGACAAGATGTTAGGTGACCTCCAACACGTTGTCTTTCCTGGGGACGCAGGTACTCCTCGCCTGTCTGGTCGCCCTAGCCGCCGCCGCTCCTCGCCCTGACGAAGATGAGGCTAAGATCTTAGTGGACGAGCGCCAGGCTACTGCAGATGGAAACTTCAACTACCGATATGAAACTGAAAATGGAATCTCCGAGGACAGACTCGGTACTCCGGGCTCAGAGGGTCAGAGCAACATGCAGGGCACCTTCAGGTAGACAAGCCATCGTTAACCTCACTTACTTGTTATTATTAACTACTTGTAATGATTTTATCGTGATTGCAAGTATTTTAATGATAGATGAAAAAAGCAAATTGATTTGTTTCAGTAAATGATATCATCAAAAAAGACTATATTTGCTCTCATAAGATACAACGCGGAGTCGGTAAGTAGAACAGTGTTGGATAAGTACAGTGAATCTACCGTAACTAGATACCTTCTCTAATAACCAGTACAAGGTGAAAGATATTATTCTGAATCTGTTGTTTAGTTATTGATTTTGAAACGTTTTATCTTCTCTCAGCTACACGTCTCCTGAGGGCGTCTTTGTTATCGTCACCTACATCGCCGACGAGTTTGGCTTCAAGGCCGACTCTCCTCTGCTGCCCACCCCTCACCCCCTCCCCGCCCACGCCATAGAGCAGATCCGCGTCGCCGAGGAGCAGCGCGCCCAGGGCATTACCTTCGAGAAATAACACAAAATGAGACCTCCACCTTGACCTCCCTGTACATGATTAACTCGCGACAATCATTATGGATCAATTTGTCAAATGTCTGGACATATTTGTTTACACAGAACCTAAAGTACGACCACAAGTTGAGGTCTAAAATAAAGGTGTAATGATCTTCACTCGGTGGCTGTCGCGGAGGTGTCGTCCCCTAAATAATTATAACATAGACCTAGTGAGCCTAGTCATGTACTGTACACTTTGTTATGGAGTCAACCTGTCCCAGTGATATTGTTATTGCTTATAGGAAATAAATGTTAAGTGATTTTATTATCATAATTATTATCATTATCATTATTATTATTATTATTATTATTATTATTATGATTATGATTATGATTAAGATTAAGATTATGATTATTATTATTATTATTATTATTATTATTATTATTATTATTATTTATTTTTTTATGATTTTTTAGTCATTTAAAGTTTTTAATATCGAATTGTGAATTTTTAAGTTGTATGATCACTCTGTGTGTGTGTGTGTGTGTGTGCATATATGTGTGTGTGTGTGTGTGTGTGTGGCAATCATAAATAATTAACGGTTTATTGAAAAAAAATTCAGTCGCCCGAAGGCTGAAAACATAAATTGGATAGAAATGAATTATTACATACATAGGCATGGGGTAGGTGGGTCGTTCAACAAAAGCTTTCATTACTAAAAGGAGAAGGAACATGAATTGAACATACAAATTATAGTTTACAGTTGATGGTCGGGGCTGGTCTCTTGCTCTACTGTTTGAGGTCACGTAGGCCAGTGGTGCAGTGACTAGTGACTAGTTACTGCACCTATAGACTAGTTACTAGTCTATAGGTGTTGACATGAAAGACCTCACGTGGTCATGGAGACACCGTGAGGGTGTAGGGTGGTGTCACAGCACCTCTTCTCTTCTAAGTGGTTTGTGTTATCTTATAGTCAGGTGTAAGGCCGACCCACGGTTATTCCCAGGATGGACACTGATTAACACAGCCTGGTCAGAGGTGTTGGTCAGTTTTCAGGGGGGCTTATCTCTGGGTATGGACCTCACTGGTGGGTCACGGCTCTTGCTAGTACTGTCTACTGCTGAATTCACTAGACTGTTCATCACTGTTCGACACTGATCCCACTTCCTTCCGAAACGGAATTGTCACTGTTGGCGGGATTATGTTGATATCCCGGTGGTGAGGATGGGTCACGGAGAGGGACTTATGTAATTCGCCAACATTGGCCAGGGCAGCGCCACAGCAGGAGCGGGAGCCCAATAGGTCTTGACCCTCAGGTGGTCAAGAATGTAGTGTGTATGTGTGCGTGTCTCTGGTAAAAAGTTTGTGGATTGGACAGTGAGAATCAATCTATATATATATATATATATATATATATATATATATATATATATATATATATATATATATATATATATATATATATATATATATATATATATATATATAAAGTTTATTACCTTCCACACTTTATGGATTACCAGTTATTCTTAAAACCAAAAGTTTGAAAACTACATGGATAGACAAACATAAAATGCAGACATAACATTTATTGTATACCTGTGATATCGTTGGTTTGTGTCCAGCGGTCTGGCATGCTAGAGGATACCCCAAAACTGCGGTCACGAGTTCATTATATACAGGAAAGTCGGTGAGGGACAGAGGTCCGGGAATAGGTCAATCTTCAACCTATTTCCTCTCAAAGGTGATGCCCTGAGCTCGTTGTTGCGCAGCAATATCGAGCAGACGTTGGACATGGGGAGGGGCAGGGGGGCCCACTGGCAGCAGATCGGACGAGGGCTGGTAGCCGTACTCGTCTGCGATGTAGCTGACCTCAGCGATGGTGCCGTCCTCAAGGGTAAACCTGAGGAAGGAGTGACGTTGTTTTAGAAGAAATTTTAATTTACCATTATTAACATAAGAACATAAGAATGGAGGAAACTGCAGCGGGCCTGTTGGCCCATACTGGGCAGTCCCGTTTACACCCATCCCCTATTGCTCATACAAGCATCCAACCTATGTTTGATATTTGGTAACTTGTTCCATTCGTCCACTACTCTGTTTCCAAACTAGTGTTTACCTTTTTCGCGCCTAAATCTAAATTTGTCTAATTTAAATCCATTGTTACGAGTTCTCTCCTGGTTGGATACTTTGAGTACCTTTGTTATATCACCTTTGTTTAGCCCTGACTTCCATTTATACACCTCTATCAGGTCGCCCCTCGCTCTACGTCTCTCGAGGGAGTGCAAATTAAGATGCTTTAACCTGTCTCTATACTCAAGGTTCCTAATGCCCGGGATTAGTCTTGTCATTCTCCTCTGAATTCTTTCCAAGGATTCTATATCCATTCTGTAATACGGTGACCAGAAATGAACTGCATAGTCCAGGTGTGGTCTCACAAGAGCAAGATACAGTTTTAGGATGACCTCTCTAGTCTTGTAACTAACACTCCTTTGTATGAACCCAAGTACTGTATTAGCCTTGTTACGAGCAAAAACACATTGTTTACTTGGCTTAAGGTTCCTACTTATCATGACTCCTAAATCTCTCTCGCAGTCGGATTTCTCAATGGCATCGTTGTTCATCCGGTATCTGGTTTCCCTGTTTACATCTCCTATACTGAGTACTTTACATTTGTCCTCGTTGAATTTCATCTCCCATTTTTCAGACCATTCGAAAAATTTGTTTAGATCTTCCTGTAGTTTTGCCGAGTCCTCGTCAGATTTAATAACACGTCCTATTTTAGTGTCATCAGCAAATTTACTTATGTTGCTGTCTATGCCGATATCTATGTCGTTTATGTATATAATAAACAATAATGGTCCAAGTACTGAGCCTTGGGGAACTCCACTAGTGACGTTGCTCCAATGGGATTTAGTGCGGTTAATGCTCACTCCCTGTTTCCTGTCCTGTAACCACGCCCTAATCCATTTAAGGATATTACCTTTGATGCCATGTGCTTCTACCTTTCTAATTAGTCTTTCGTGGGGGACTCTGTCGAAGGCTTTGCTAAAGTCGAGATATACCACATCATAATTGTGCCCCTCGTCCACCGATTCGAAAACTGATGAAAAGAATGTTAATAGATTAGTTAGACATGAACTCCCGCTTGTGAAGCCATGCTGGGAATCATTGGTCAACTTGTGCTTCACCCAGTGATTTCGAATGAGTTTGAAATGAATGCTTCTAGTAATTTTCCTACTATTGATGTTAGACTGATTGGGCGGCAGTTAGAGGATAGTGATCTATCCCCCTTCTTGAAAGTCGGTATTACATTCGCTATCCTCCAGGATTCTGGTACTACACCTGTTTTAAAGGACATGTTAAACAACTTTGCTAAGGGCAGACTAAGCTCTTCCTTACATTCCTTTAATACTCTGGCAAATATCTCATCGGGACCAGGTGACTTATTTGGCTATAGTTTGTCTATTTGCTTACTAACATCGTTACTAGTCACTACTGTCTCGCTTAATTTGTTTTCTTCACTATCTCTGAATAGAGTCGGTTCCTCGGGTATCATGTTTAAATTTTCAGTGGTGAAAACTGTTGAAAAATATTTATTCAGATTAAATTATTGCTAATTTCTCTGTCGTTATCAGTTAGCTCCCCGGTATCTGACCGTATTGGTCCAATCTTTCCTCGTGTTTTAGTTTGATACATTAAGTAGAATCCTTTGGGGTTTGTCTTTGCCTCCCTTGCTATCTTCACTTCATTGTTCCTCTTAGCTCTCCTTATCTCGGACTTAACCCTACTCGCCAATACCTTATAATAATCCTGGAGGTAAATTTCGACACGATTTATCCTTCTACCTATGGCCTTCCTTTGGCCAATAATGTTATTTAAATAACTATTTATCCATTTAGGGTCATTGTTGTCTGATCTGAGTTTTTTGTATGGTATGTTCTGCCTTTGTGCATTAAGTAACTCATTATTTAAATTGTCGTGGAACTCGGCAATCTCAGATCTCGTTATCAGGTTGGTGTCAACTGGCAGGTTCCCCCCCAGGCGTGACACCTCTTCCATCAGCTGCCTCTTCAAACTATCAAAGATTGCCCTTCTGAAATCTGGGACTTTTGTGGAATTTTCCTTTCGTCAGTCCCCACAAACTAATAACACACATAAAAGATATGGTACCATTTTAACAGTAAGTGTTCAGACCTCATAATGTAAGACCTACCTGAAGGCACCCTGGTGGTTGCTCTGGCCCTCGGAGCCTGGGGTACCTGTCTTCTGGGTGTAGATTCCGTTGCTGGTTTCAAATTCGTAGCGGAAGTTTCCATCTCCTTGGTCACTACGCTCGTCTAGCAGGATAGTAGCGTCTTTGTCAGGGACGGCGGCGGCCAGGGCGACGAGGCAGACGAAGATTGTCTGTATCAGGAGGAGAAGGAAAACACTGCTGGGTATTGAGGCTCTTCTTAGAGGTATATAAGTGTGGTCCCATCTTACAATAATTCTTGGTACCTTAATAATTTCCTAAGAGTTTGTTCTTTCTACGTATTTAAATGTAGAATTGGGTTCCACAATCGTCAGGGACGATGAATCTTTCCCACATTATAATGAGTAACACTTGAGACAGTGAGGTTATGTCCTTCCAGGCGTCGAATCATAACCCAGAACATAATTAACAACTTCTAACTCGACTGTAAGAAGCAGAAGGTAAATTAGTGAGAAGGAATCATTCGTTTTATCAAGGCTGATGTCATTAAGGACAACTTTTATCACTGTAAAAATAAGTTGAATAAAAACATGAAGTTTATACATCGAGAGAAAACAAGACCCTGTGAGTTTCAGAACACATACATAAATCAACTTAAAACTCAGTCACATTTCATTGTAGACAGAAATTTGTAACCTACAAAGAACATCTATTTATATATATATATATATATATATATATATATATATATATATATATATATATATATATATATATATATATATATATATATATATATATATATATATATATATATATATATATATATATATATATATATATATATATATATTTATTTATTTATTTATTTCATGTAGATCCACAATGAAAACGTGGATAAGATAAATCTTGATAAATATGGGAAACAACGGAGCACCTAGGTGCTCCGTTGCTTTCCCATCTATATATATATATATATATATATATATATATATATATATATATATATATATATATATATATATATATATATATACACACACACATTTATACAGAGGTTTGCGTGTGTATATAAGAGTGAACTCCGCGGTGAAGCTGACCAATACTCACGAGCTTCATGTTGCCGTTG